TACACTGTACCATACATCATACTTAAGTTATACACTGTGTACCATACATCATACTAAAGTTATACACTGTGTATCATACATCATACTAAAGTTATACACTGTACCATACATCATACTTAAGTTATACACTGTGTACCATACATCATACTAAAGTTGTACACTGTATCATACATCATACTAAATTTGTACACTGTATCATACATCATACTAAAGTTATACACTGTCTACCATACATCCAGGGGGAAACCCAGGAATTAATTGTTGGTGCTGACAGATTTTTGCTCTTATTTAAAACTAATACATCATAATTGTCATGTCGGTTCTTCATGTATATTACTTTCTGGCACCAAAAATATATAGAACTTCTTTGATGAGATTGTGACATTAAAAGTTTTCACCGCTGAGCGGAGCGAGAATTTTCTTCTTCTTCTGAAGACGTAATACTAAACTATTTCAAGCACTGCCGAGCGTAGAAAGCAAGAATGTATCGGACATTATTTTCATCGACAGACAGATCGAGTGAGGTGTAGAATAGTTTCATAAATTTGCGGTATTATTCCAGGTTATATTTTATAACGTTGAGTATTTATATTTTATGAAGACCGAGCGGAGCGAGTGTTAACAAGTTCATTTAGAAAAGTGGTAAAAATGTAGATTTTTGGTTAAAATGTTGATGTGNGGGGGGGGCTTTTCTGTAGATTCAGCTGATAATGCGCGCGAATCTACACGTACATGTAGTGTTTATAGGCGATCATTTTGGTAGTTTAATATTAATTTATTTTGTCATAAATATGACTTATGATTTAACTGTCGGTCTTTTATTGTGAAATAGTACATGCAATACATACAATGTATGTACGTACAGGGGCAACACCTAATGAGAACGATGTACACGCTATAGGCTTCTATGCTAATATTGGTTATTAATCACCTGATGAAGTGATGCTAAGGAGGGTGCTTTATTGCCTTTGAAATTGATACGTTTTAATTGGTATAATAAATCACTCCTGGTGACCATCTGTACTTGAAACCACAGGTGAAAATACAGGTATATCTATCATGAAATAGACTCTACCTTTGAAATAACACTTTACCTATATACCTAATTCCAATAGATGGTATGATCACCACACCGTGACATTAGAACAATAAGATTAGGTAGAGTCAGTCCGCCTTGACCACTGACCTGACTGGAGACCTTACTAATATATAGACAATGGAGGATTAATTACCCCCTATTGTTTAGAGTATAAGTAGCTATATATGGCATCTTAAAGTCTTAAAGTCAATATCAGCAAAACTAAAATCATGGTATTTGGTAGAAAAAGAATTCATGATGGCCTTAATTTTACATACAACGAACGGTACGTACTGTTATAGGAATAGCTAAGGATTTTAAATATCTTGGGGTTTATTTTGCTAAAACTGGTTTGACACAGTTTAATATTAAACAACTGTATGGTAAAGGTTTAAAAGCAATGTATGGTGCTATTTCCAAATGTAGGGATCATAATTTGTCAATAGATTGTCATCTTGATATATTTGACAAAGCCATCAAACCTATTGTTCTATACGGATGTGAAATTTGGGGGTTCTGTAACTATAAACTTATCGAACGTTTACATTTAAAATTTTGCAAACACATACTTAATGTTAAAACGTCTACACCGAACTTTATGATATACGGAGATCTTGGAAGGTCCCGCTAGATATTAATGTCAAAGTAAGAGTGGTCAGATTTTGGACTAAATTGACAAAAAACAACCAGAATAAATTAAGTAATAAACTGTTAGCAATTTCATCAAATTATGAATCATCATGAAACATATATTTAATTGTCAAGAGTTTCAAAGTATATGTGGGCTAAAAAGTACCATATTTTATAAACTAAAAGGAAAATTTATATCAAACTGGAGAAATGAAATGTATACTTCTCCGAAAGGAACCAATTATACAATATATAAGTACAAACTTTGTTTAGAAAAGTACTTACTAGAACTCCCTCCGAAACTAGCCAAAGCGTATTGTAAGTTTAGAACATGTAATACTAAGTTACCAATTGAAAGTGGTAGGTGGTTCAATATACCACGTGAAAAATATATTATGTAGTTTATGTTATTTAAGAGAAATTGGCGACGAATTTCATTATCTGTTTACATGTACACATCAACCAATTCTCAGTAGTAGGCGAAAACATATGTCCAGATGTCATTATGAAAGACCAAACACATTTAAATATCATACATTATTCAATTATGTAACACAACATGAATTGACATCATTGGCTAAATTTATTACCAATATTAATGACATAATTAATTTACAATACTAATGTCCGTCCTGTTCCACCATGTATTATTGCCACCCATTTGTATATATGTATTCTCTACACTGTATTTTTTATGAGAATAAAACAATTGTCATTGTCACAGTGGACTCTTTGTTTGGGCAACACCCTTAGGCATATAGATAATCAAACTGCTGACAAGGGGAAGCCATAGAAAATCATAGTTCAAGGGATGGTTGATATTAGAAGGACATCACATATGAAATAGAGGAAAATCTTCAAAAACCTTGGTCCAGATTATTTTTGGACACAGAAAAAAGGGTGTTGCCCGGGCACCTAGGGCAACACCCCTGGGTCTGCCACTGACATCATACTTAAAAGTTGTACACTGTGTGCCATTTCTGACATTCCAACTTAAGGAACACTATCATTTCTTGTTACTTAACATTTTTTTTTAAGAAATACATATTTTTCGTATTCATATCAGTGGACAAGCATTTCCAACGTCTTTCCTGTTATACCATTGCACAATTGGGCTGCATGATTAATGCAACTTACTACCGTTCTTAATATTGTTTGTAATGTATGAATTAATTACTCTTGTGATGTGTATTACTACAACTGAAATCATTGCATGGTTGATCTGTTTGTTTAAATTAATTATAATATTGTATGATTGTATCATATACGGCGTGTAATATTGTGTATTTCACACCACTGTATGATTATATTGTATGACTTCGTGCAACGGGTTCTACTCATGATCAATGTATGATTGTTTTGCAAGACTTATGTACCAGTATAATAATGCTGTATAATTTATTGTGTAATGTTTGTAATACTGTTTATTACAATGTTGTATGATTGCTTAGTACGAGAAGTGTATTGCTGTCTATACTATTATATGATAATATAGTATGAGGAGTGTGAAGATGTCTATTATATCAATGTGTGATTTAATGTATGATGAGTGTTATACTGTCTATCATCATAATTATCACCGTATAATGACTGTAATAGTACCTATTATATCATTGCGTTGTGTTTATAGTACTTTATGGTATAATGCGGGTACTATTATTATTCTTTTATGTGTGTGTCTGTCCATGTGTGTGTCACTATGTAAGGGTGTGACCATGAGCGTGAATGCATTTTCTTCTCTTTCAATAGTGTTCGAATTGTACGTGTATTGTTCGATATTTTCTGTAACTCTTAATTTTTGGAGGAAATAATAATCCTGGTTTTAGTACATCCCCAGCTCAATATAAGCGCTGTAACGACAACGATTAAAAATGGCTGCGCCCTGACGCTCTGGCTTACCAGAATTCTGTATTTACTGTTTTCATATTCGTCTCGGTTCAGATTTACGAAAACTTAATACAATCAGGTATTGTAAGTCATATATCTTCTATAGAATCACTATGATCTTATCATCCGATTGCTAAAAGATGTAAAAAAAAAATGATTGTCTCTCGCACCCCTGACAACAACACCGGGCACATGTACCGGTGCGATATGTACATGATCTGTATCAGTACTGTGTGTCATGGAGACTTTATGGTGTGTGTGAAGTGTTTTATTCCACTAGTTCTACCATATAGTGACCACTTTCAACTAGTTGAAGATGTTGTCACGAAATTGGGTTTATGCAGCATAAATGACACACTATATATATATATATATATATATCAGGTCCAGTATACACTCTGACGATTGAGCTATATAGCTATTTTCACTTATAAATTAAAGCTGTATTAAGCTATAATTTCTCAGATTTCAATTTTCATTAAATTAAAGCAAAGTCGCATAAAACAACAAGGTTTATGGTAATGTTGACTACAAAAAGCTTATCCTCAATGCATTTAGATGTTTATTTTTATTTTTCATAAATATTAACTTTTAGATTTTTTTGTATCATTATTTTTTAAAAAGAATACTTATATTTAATGTCTTTTGTTATCAACCTAATGATAAAAGTTTCTTTTAAAAGCGACTTTGTTTCATTTTCCCTAAAAAAGAAAATCGCATGAAAATAGCTCCAAAGACCTATTTCAGATAGGTCAATAGAGCTATTAAAGGTTTTTACAGCTTTATAGCTCAACCGGCAGAGTGTACTGGACCTGTATATATATATATTATATACATATTACATAATACTTAACACCGGTAATTATTCGCTTAGTTATTCAGAGGATAAGGTAACAGATTGAAGGAAGGGGGAAGGATCAACAGGTTTGGGTTTGTACTAGCAGAAGCAAGTGATTGGGACAATCCCCGGACCGACAAGACTGAACGGTCGTTCGGTCCGCCAGCACTAAAGTGGAGTACCGAGTAAAGTTAAGAGAGGGAACGTTTATTTTGAGGAGAATCCGAGAGAAGTCTGGGCAGTGAGTGGGGAACCCCTAACTTTATACAGCTTGTTCAGAAAAGGGGGAAAAGAAGAGAAGTGGTGAATTATTATGTTAAGTCTGTTGAAGTAACTAATTACTCTGCATCTTCAATTTTATAGGTGTGCCTGGAAGGAGATGTTTTAAAGGAGTTGATAGTGGATGCATTAACAATGCGGTTGGTAATGTGTTCCAGTCTAGTACGAGATGAGGTGAGAATTTCTAGGAATTCTCCTGGCTCGGTGCCTCCTGTCAGTCATGACAGTTATATACTTTTAGAGGTTTAGATAAACACCTGTCAGTATATATATATGTGTGTAATATTAATGCCCGGCCTCCCCTGTCAGTATATATATATATGTGTAATATTAATACCCGGTCTCCCCTGTCAGTATATATATATATATGTATATTAATACCCGGCCTCCCCTTGCCAGTATATATATATATGTGTGTAATATTAATACCCGGTCTCCCCTGTCAGTATATATATATATGTGTATTTCTAATATTAATACCCGACCTCCCCTGTCAGTATATATATATATATGTGTAGTACTAATTTTAATACCCGGCCTCCCCTGTCAGTATATATATATATGTGTATTAATACCTGACCTCCCCTGCCTCAAAAATCATTTATCCATCAGAAGCTCAGTCAGCACATGTAATAGGCCAGCTGCGATAATGTAGCTTTCTGACGACCAGAGGAGGCTGGGTATTAATATTAGTACTACTAATAGGCATGCCATTTTGTCAGAAAAAAGGACACTTGTACTGTATGTGCTAACTAACAATGAATAGGGTGGGCTGTCACATGTCAATATGTGAAAACAACCCTAAAATGTACAACCTAATTTCTCAAATACAGACTTGTCACCAAATAGATATCTTTAATTTATTGCTAGTTAGCAGATATTGGTATTGAAAATAATACAGAATAAAATAAGTTTAGTGATAAGTAATGAATGGAATCAATACACTAGGAGTGTCACAATGTGCCTGGAGTTCACCATGATATAGATCTCTCGTACCCTGAGCGTATTCGTCGGCTAGGACTACCATCACTTCAATATAGAAGACTAAGATCTGACATGGTAGAAATCTATAAGCTGATAAACACCATAGATATAACCAACCAACAAATCATCCCTGCCTTCGACAACTTCAATACGAGGGAAACTAAAAACACCTGAAACAAATCGGTATAAGACCAACATTAGGGGACATGCTTTTAAAAATAGAATTGTAAATATTTGGAATCAACTCCCCACAATTGTGGTAGGTTCCCCAACCTTAAATGTTTTTAAATCTAGACTCAACAAACATTGGGTCAACCATCCAATCAAGTTTTACCATCGTGCTACTAATATGTAATATAAGTTGTATACGCGTCCTCTGCGCAACCTGTAAATATGTGAACAATTATGAAGAAGTGTCAACAGAAGCAATGTATTATGCTTACGAAGACATCGACCACCATGAACCATGAACCATATAATTCAACACAGAATGTATTCATTGTTTTATGTATTCTGATATATTGTCGTAGGAAAAAGGTGCTCAATCTGAAAAAAAATATAGTCTTATTAAAATGTTATCAAACAGAATCATTATATCATACGGATCACACAGATTAACTTTTTATGTTAAACACACCATCAGTTAAAAAATTTGAGCTGATTCCCTCCATAATTAATAGCCTGGTGGTTGGATGGCATTATAAGTGGATAGCAGGATTCAACTCCCCAATCTGATGTGAAAAAGTATTGGGCCACCTGCCCAACCCCGTGGGCTTTCTCTGGGATCTCCGGTTTCCTCCCACAATGTATTCAAATTCATTTATTGACTCTAAGCTTTTCAGCTAATCAGTAAACATAAACCAAAACATGACCACATTAGGACCCCCTGCACACTCTCATCAGGGCAAACAGGCCATGAACCAAAACATGACCACATTAGGACGCCCTGCACACTCTCATCAGGGCAAACAGGCCATGAACCAAAACATGACCACATTAGGACGCCCTGCACACTCTCATCAGGTCAAACAGGCCATAAACCAAAACATGACCACATTAGGTGGCTTTGCACACTTTCATCAGGCCAAACAGGCCATAAACCAAAACATGACCACATTAGGACCCCCTGCACACTCTCATCAGGGCAAACAGGCCATAAACCAAAACATGACCACATTAGGTGGCTCTGCACACTTTCATCAGGCCAAACAGGCCATAAACCAAAACATGACCACATTAGGACACCCTGCATACTCTCATCAGGGCAAACAGGCCATAAACCAAAACATGACCACATTAGGACACCCTGCACACTCTCATCAGGGCAAACAGGCCATAAACCAAAACATGACCACATTAGGACACCCTGCACACTTTCATCAGGGCAAACAGGCCATAAACCAAAACATGACCACATTAGGACACCCTGCACACTTTCATCAGGGCAAACAGGCCATAAACCAAAACATGACCACATTAGGACACCCTGCACACTTTCATCAGGGCAAACAGGCCATAAACCAAAACATGACCACATTAGGACACCCTGCACACTTTCATCAGGGCAAACAGGCCATAAACCAAAACATGACCACATTAGGACACCCTGCACACTTTCATCAGGGCAAACAGGCCATAAACCAAAACATGACCACATTAGGACGCCCTGCACACTCTCATCAGGGCAAACAGGCCATAAACCAAAACATGACCACATTAGGACACCCTGCACACTCTCATCAGGGCAAACAGGCCATAAACCAAAACATGACCACATTAGGACGCCCTGCACACTCTCATCAGGGCAAACAGGCCATAAACCAAAACATGACCACATTAGGACACCCTGCACACTCTCATCAGGGCAAACAGGCCATAAACCAAAACATGACCACATTAGGACGCCCTGCACACTCTCATCAGGGCAAACAGGCCATAAACCAAAACATGACCACATTAGGACGCCCTGCACACTCTCATCAGGGCAAACAGGCCATAAACCAAAACATGACCACATTAGGACGCCCTGCACACTCTCATCAGGGCAAACAGGCCATAAACCAAAACATGACCACATTAGGACGCCCTGCACACTCTCATCAGGGCAAACAGGCCATAAACCAAAACATGACCACATTAGGACGCCCTGCACACTCTCATCAGGGCAAACAGGCCATAAACCAAAACATGACCACATTAGGACGCCCTGCACACTTTCATCAGGGCAAACAGGCCATAAACCAAAACATGACCACATTAGGACACCCTGCACACTTTCATCAGGGCAAACAGGCCATAAACCAAAACATGACCACATTAGGACGCCCTGCACACTCTCATCAGGGCAAACAGGCCATAAACCAAAACATGACCACATTAGGACACCCTGCACACTTTCATCAGGGCAAACAGGCCATAAACCAAAACATGACCACATTAGGACACCCTGCACACTTTCATCAGGGCAAACAGGCCATAAACCAAAACATGACCACATTAGGACACCCTGCACACTTTCATCAGGGCAAACAGGCCATAAACCAAAACATGATCACATTGGAACGCCCTGCACACTCTCATCAGGGCAAACAAGCCATAAACCAAAACATGACCACATTGGGACGCCCTGCACACTCTCATCAGGGCAAACAAGCACAGGTATTTGATATGAGTTGAAATAATCAATATAAATAAGGCCAAAGGCTAATCTACCACATGGTCATCATTGTTTATAATTGTTATAAAAGGATAGTTTTATTACCACCAGCTTTCATGTTCACCAGTAAATATCAGGAATTAGTCGTTTGATGCAAGCTTTCATGTTCACCAGTAAAATATCAGGAATTAGTCGTTTGATGTAAGCTTTCATGTTCACCAGTTAAGTATCAGGAATTAGTCGTTTGATATAAGCTTATGATGTATATCTTGAATACAGTGAAGATATACAAAATGTAATAACTTCAAACTAGGAATCCCTGTTAGTATCAACGTCCAATCAGAACAAGACGTTCTGTTCACTGTGTAGAATTGAGATGGCAGATTAACGTCATAGGAGTGTATAGATAAACGGAAATAGGAAGTACATCCCGAGTTGAAAATCCAATGAAGGGAGACAGTATCACAATTTCCGCATATTCTAATGTTTAATATTAGAATGATGAATATTGTATGTTTATTATTGACAGAACAGTGTGTTCTCTCAATATTAAAGTATTTCAAAGCAATCCAGGCAATGATTCAGTTGTTTTTTATCAATGAGTCACATGTGTCCATTTTTCTGTACTTCAGGAAACCGGCTGCAAAAAATTGTGTCTTTCAAAAACCATTGAATTAGCTACAACTTTCCAGATATTAAATATTAAGTAGAGTGAATTTATATGCAAAATTGTGAGATTATACCTGGTATATTGACGAAATTATTAAAGGTTGAAAAATGTCGTTAACTAGTGATTAAGCTGATCACCTTTTCAACAACTGGCCCATGGTGTCGATTATTTCCATACTAATTCCCACACTTTTTCAGTGCAGCAATATTTGACTTTTGTTACTTAAATAAAAAAAAAATGTAATGAATAGAAAATTTAAAAAAAATGTCTGTTTAATACCATTGTAACAGCGAGGAAAAATGCATTGCAAGACCGGGATTCAAACCTGTAACCCTCCGAACTCTAGACGGATGCTCTACCAATTGAGTTATCTGGTCGCCGATGATCGACCCAGTCCAATTCCGCTCCACCATATATATTTCACCCATGTGGCAAAATATATACAAATATTTTCACGAGTGCGAATTTTCTGCCATTCTTGTGAATTACGGTATATATGGTATTTACCTGGTAATGGTAATGGGAAAACCCATTAAAGATACTCTATACATTAGGCAGTTCGTAATAGCCTGTTAATGGTTTATAATCGGCAAATCTGTCAGATTGTGAAGTAATTTTCAAAGTTAAAACACCTAGCAGATACATAAAAGTAAACTTTTGAAAAATATTGTGATCCAACGAAATTTAATTTCTGTATTACAATAAGATACAATATGCAAGTGTACTGAGATATGTATGGTAGGTTCTCCAATATTTTATGACGGCCGTATAATACACCTTTTTCATTTTAAAATTTTGGCATGCTAGAGGTAATAGAATTAAGTGAAAAGCCTGGGTACCTTTTAGACAAAAAACATCAAAAGAAGTGTTGGGAAATTGGTTTAAATTTTATGATCGATCATTGGTTACCATTAACCAACCGATGATCGATTAATAATCGTTTATAGAAATACATAGTGGAATCCTCCATGCTGTTGTTGCGAGTCACTTAGGCAAATAAAAAAGTGATACCATGTAATTATGATATAAGAAATACCTCTCTTCAAACACTGAATCTGTAATATATAGTCCTAACTAGCAGCCATGAGCTAAAAGTAAGTCATGCAGTGATGATGCCATCAATTTTACAAAGTAGCTGGGAAAAATGTCTGCTGAAAACTCCACAATATCTACACATTAGCATCCCGACTAAAATCGATCATGGATTTTGTACTCAATTAATCAGTTTGTTAGCCTAACTGACCGATGCTCGATTTAGTCGATGAACCCTTTCACCCCTAGATAACTTTAGTAGACTCTACCATACATTTGTCTGGGTGAGTCCATTATGGTCTACAGTGGTGAAAGGGTTAATCGGAACACCACTAACAGAAAGGGATCACACATGAGTTAATTTCTGAAGTTATTGTCTTCGTAAGCTCACTTTGTTGGTTTCTTGATGTTTCAGATGATATTCTGATGTTGTCATAGTGATGATGAGAAGGAAGAAGCCGGAAAATGACACATACAGGCCAGGAACCAAACATGTACACGTGTGATGTCTGTGATAAAGACTTTAGTTTCTTATCGAAACTACGGAGGCATACAAAAATACATACAGGGGAAAAGCCATACAAGTGTGACGTGTGTGATAAGGAGTTCAGTTTCTCATCGAAACTACGGAGGCATACAAAAATACATACAGGGGAAAAGCCATACAAGTGTGACGTGTGTGATAAGGAGTTCAAGGAGGCATGCCAAGTACGGGAACACCTAATGACACATACAGGGGAGAAACGACACAGCTGTGACGTCTGTGGGAAAGGGTTTATCAAAGCATATGGTCTACAGGTACATGTCCGAAAGCACAAAGGAGAGAAACCATTTAAGTGTGGTGTCTGTGGTAAGGGTTTCAATGTGGCCTCACACGTGAGAGAGCACCTGATGACCCACACGGGAGAGAAACCTCACACATGTGATGTGTGTGGTAAGGGCTTTAGTCAGGCGGCTAATCTCCGTACACATACCAGGATACATACCGGAGAGAGACCGTTCAAGTGTGATGTCTGTACCAAAGCATTCAGTGAGGCATCACGGCTGAATATACATAAAAGGACCCATACAGGAGAGAAACCATGCAAGTGTAATGTGTGTGGTAAGGGGTTTAGTCAGGCGACTAACCTACGAACACATATCAGGATACATACCGGAGACAGACCGTACAGGTGTGACGTCTGTGGTAAGGCATTTAGCGATGCCTCTAGTCTAAGGGTTCACACAAGAACCACTACCGGGGATAAACAAAACAAGTGCAGTGTCTAAATTATAGTACCTTACTCAGTTCGAGCATCTAGATCTATGTGTCCTGTGTAAATTGATTGTATGGAGAATCTAGATCTACCTGTCCTGTGTAAATTGATTGTATGGAGAATCTAGATCTACATGTCCTGTGTAAATTGATTGTATTGTCTCTCACTACCACTTAAGGTGTCCTGACTCCCGACTCATTGGATAAACCTGGTAGGAGTTAATATGTAGACACTCTTGGTGACCCACTAGTGAGTAACACCCTGAACGTTATTTCATTGGTCAATCTTCTAATCATGACGTCAAGAGACAACACTTTGCGACGTCCTCTTCCATTGTGACGTCATAGTTCATGTTGGTGGTTTCCCTGATCAGAGTAACATGTTCCTAGATATGATATCTAAACGGTGTGGGAGAAAAACGTCAACAAACTTGTGATGGTTGGTTAACTTGTTTATCTAACTCTCGGAAGTATCTTTTTTATTTTAGAAGACACTTTGTAAACCTCATGTTTTTATATTCTTTGAAAATTAACTAAGTTAGATTAACATGATAACAAACCATCACCCATTAGGGATCCTCTGTGTAACAAGCGTCTAGATCTATATCCCTAACCCTATATGTTGTATGTAAATTTGTTGTATCGAATAATTAGAACTACATGTCTTTCACTGTATTGAGCATCTAAATCTATGTCATACATTAATCCATTAACTGTTACGTTGTTACACTAGCTGGTACAGCTGCAACCTCCATTGTAGCTCCGATATACTACATGTATTTGGAGCATAAACAACATTTACTGTAACCACGTCAGACTAGTTGGAGCAGAAACAGCCTCGATGGTAACCCAGTTAGTGCAGAAACAGCATCTATTATAACCTGGTTATACTAGTAAGTGCAGAAATAACATCTATTATAACCTGGTTATACTTGTAATTGCAGAAATAACATCTATTATAACCTGGTTATACTTGTAATTGCAGAAATAACATCTATTATGACCTGGTTATACTAGTAATTGCAGAAATAACATCTATTATAACCTGGTTATACATGTAATTGCAGAAACAACATATATTATAACCTGGTTATACTTGTAATTGCAGAAATAACATCTATTATAACCTGGTTATATTTGTAAGTGCAGAAACAGCATCTATTATAACCTGGTTATACTAGTAAGTGCAGAAATAACATCTATTATAACCTGGTTATGCTAGTAAGTGCAGAAACAGCATATATTATAACCTGGTTATACTAGTAAGTGCAGAAATATCATCTATTATAACCTGGTTATAATAGTTAGTGCAGAAACAGCATCTATTATAACCTTGTTATACTAGTTAATGCAGAAACAGCATCTATTTTAACCTGGTTATACTAGCTAATGCAGAAACAGCATCTATTTTAACCTGGCCATGGTTATACTAGTTAATGCAGAAACAGCATCTATTTTAACCTGCCCATGGTTATACTAGTTAATGCAGAAAAAACATATATTATAACCTGGCCATGGTTATACTAGTAAGTGCAGAAACAGCATCTTTTATAACCTAGAGAATATGTAAATAGAGAATAATACATGCCTTTTTCCATATCACACCCAGTATCAACCCCAGACTGCTATATCAGCCCGAGGGCCGAAGGACCGACGGTTGATACTAGGTGTGAAATGGAAAAAGGCATGTTTTATTCTGTTTATTATATACTTACTAAAAAAGCTACTATCTTATGATCTATTTTTCTTTTGAAATATTGAAAAACAAGGGGTGTGATATGGGTTTTGCGGGCTGATACGGGTTTTGGGGTGTGATATGGAGAGGGCTGATACAGGTTTTGGGGTGTGATACGGAGAGGGCTGATACGGGTTTTGGGGTGTGATACAGCGAGGGCTGTATATGGGTTAGATCAATTGTGTCCTATCGCATATACAAAAAGCCGTATTTATTAGTAAGTATGTAATAAATCTATGTATATCTATCTTTAGGTAGAGTATATGTAAATCTATATCTTTAGGTAGAGTATATGTAAATCTATATCTTTAAATAACTTTGTATTAAGTTGAATCTTCTGTCTGATTATTTCCTAAAGTAAAAGTTGTAACCGAGATCCGTTTCATCGTTTCAGTCAGCAATACTGTACTTAAAGTAACAGTCAAGTAAAAATGATCTCCCTAAGTGTAGTGTTAAAAGTTAACTGTGGTACTATGATATGGTGTGTATGTATTTTTACTTATGTCTGTAGCTTGTAAATAATACTTGTTGCAGTATTGCTATATCTGTGTGCAAGTAAAAATAAATCCTAAGAGAGATGAATTGGTTTGGTTTTATTTTGTTTAATGACCTATTAACTCATTCACCCCTGAAATTCCATAATGCACTATATCAACCTTTCAATTGGAAGAGTTCAAATGTGTCTGCAGGGGTGAATGAGTTAACAGATAAGGTCATTTAAGGACGTACCTCCTGTGTGTTGTGTAAGCATGCAGGTGTGTATGTGAGCCGGAGACAGGGTATACAAGAGGAGTGGTCATTGGTTCACAATACAGTCTCTGTCACATTTCAACTTCTTATTTAAAGCTTTGATTAGTTAAGAGACAAGACATGGTTTGGATAACAAGCAGTAAGGAATTTTAGAGCCAGTTATATCAACTGCTTGGACCACAGTCCAGACGTTTTATACAACGAGTCATGCACTAGGTCAAATATTAATTGTTTACATGACTCAATCAAACAGATAAGAGAAAAGAAGAGAAAAGATCGTGCTGACATAGAACTAATGAGGATGGTACAATGGTGGGCGCCAAGATCTCTCTGACATAGAACTAATGGAGATGGTACAATGGTGGGCGCCAAGATCTCTCTGACATAGAACTAATGGAGATGGTACAATGGTGGGCGCCAAGATCTCTCTGACATAGAACTAATGGAGATGGTACAATGGTGGGCGCCAAGATCTCTCTGACATAGAACTAATGAAGATGGTACAATGGTGGGCGCCAAGATCTCTCTGACATAGAACTAATGAAGATGGTACAATGGTGGGTGCCAAGATCTCTTTGGGATTTCTTGTTAATATTTGATTTTTGTTTTCAAATAGAGTTTTGATTCATATGTACAATTAGTAAAAGTAATTCTTTGATAAGGTTGCAGTTATATTAACCAAATAAATATGTGGAAATGATAATTAGGATTCTACGTAATCTGTATATATACATGTACCTAAAATTTAGGGCTTTTCAGGACCATTATGTTTAGCTAACCAGGTGAGCTTATGCGGCATCCATCGTCCATCCGTCTGTCTGTCCGTAAACAATTTCTTTAAAAGTCTTCTTCTCTTTAGCTGGTGATTAGAATTTAACCAAATTTGACCAGAAGCATCTAGGTGGTGGGGATTACAAATTGTACAAATGGAGGGTCCGACCCCTCCAGGGGCTGATGGGCAGGGCCAAAAATGGGTAATATTAAGAGATTATTTGGCCATATTGCTTTAACCCTTTCACCCCTATAGGTAACTTTAGTAGACTCTACCATGCATTTATGGGGATGAGTCCATTATGGTCTACAGTGGTGAAAGGGTCAAGCGACTTCTTCCCAGAAAGTGAAGTGAAGAATATCAACATATGGATCGGAAGCATCCCTAGGTGGTGGGGATTCAAATAGTACAAATGGAGGGGCTGACCCCTCCAGGGGCTGAGGGGCAAACATGGGTAATAAGGCCATATTGATTTAAGTGACTTCTTCTCTGGAACAAAGTGATGGATATTAACTATGTTTGGTTGGAAGCATTCGAAGGTGGGTTAGATTCAAAATTGTACAAAAGGAGGGGCTGAGGTGGAGGCCAAAAATAATTTATAACTTTGACATTATCAGATCCACAACCTATGGCCATTTTTACAATTGCCGAGCATCAAGAAAAAAACGGTCACACTTTGAAGACTTAGTCTCTGGGTCTGGGGTCTGGTCCCACCCTTGAAGACTTAGTCTCTGGGTCTGGGGTCTGGTCCCTCCCTTGAAGACTTAGTCTCTGGGTCTGGGGTCTGGTCCCACCCTTAAAGACTTAGTCTATGGGTCTGGGGTCTGGTCCCACCCTTGAAGACTTAGTCTCTGGGTCTGGGGTCTGGTCCCACCCCTGAAGACTTAGTCTCTGGGTCTTAACTTTGAAACAGTGATGATCCCCACCCCGTAACCAAATATACCATTGCTTGACATGAGAAAACGGACACAATCAGGATATTTCTATTAGCCCTTGGGTCTGGCCCTTCCCTTAGGGACTTAACTTCTGGGCTATACCTTTGAAACCATTGAAATCCCCACCCCATAAACATAACTGTACACATTTGATAGGCATGAACAGCTATAAACTCAGTCATATTAGAATTGACCCTTGGGTCTGGGTCCACCCCTAAGGACATAATGCTTGGGTCATAACTTTGAAACTTATGAGATCCCCACCCTATAACCATATATACAATCACGAGGGACTTAATTTCTGGATCATAAGTTTGAAACTTATGAGATCTCCACCCACCCTATAACCATATATACAATCACGAGGGACTTAATTTCTGGAGCATAAGTTTGAAACTTATGAGATCCCCACCCTATAACCATATATACAATCATGAGGGACTTAGAAACTTATGAGATCCCCACCCAATAACCATATATACAATCACGAGGGACTTAGAAACTTATGAGATCCCCACCCAATAACCATATATACAATCACGAGGGACTTAGAAACTTATGAGATCCCCACCCAATAACCATATATACAATCACGAGGGACTTAGAAACTTATGAGATCCCCACCCAATAACCATATATACAATCACGAGGGACTTAGAAACTTATGAGATCCCCACCCAATAACCATATATACAATCACGAGGGACTTAGAAACTTATGAGATCCCCACCCAATAACCATATATACAATCACGAGGGACTTAGAAACTTATGAGATCCCCACCCAATAACCATATATACAATCACGAGGGACTTAGAAACTTATGAGATCCCCACCCAATAACCATATATACAATCACGAGGGACTTAATTTCTGGATCATTAGTTTGAAACTTATGAGATCCCCACCTGATAACCATATATAATATAATAATAATAGTTTGAGGTTCTTATGTACCGCTTTATCACAACCTAGTTCGTAGGTCGTCTAAAAGCGGTTCACAAAATATTATCCGTGGTTATAGGGCCTTTGCAAACATCAAATATCTTTCTCAACTCCCTGGGGAGCATACAGCCGGAGCTGCCATTTCGGTGCTAACAGCTAGCATTCAACAATTCTAGCACTTCCCAACCACATACTCATTTACAGCTGAGTAGACTGGAACAAGCGGAGTAAAGTATCATGCTCAAAGATACAACACAGAGCCGTGCCTTGACTCGAACCTGCAACCCTTTGGTCTTGAGCCCAGCGTCCTACCACTAGACTAGTGTGCCTCCTAATTACTATACGTTTAAAGGCATAAAGAGATAAACATAGTCATATATTAGAATTGCCTAGGGTCAGACTCAATCCCTAGGGAGTTAATTCTTGGGTCATATCTTTAATATGGCTGAGATCTCCAACCCATAGTATTTATACTATTGCTTGGCATAAAGATCCAGGTGAGTGATACCGGCCCTCTTGGCCTCTTGTATATTAGTATTTCTTTATATGTATTTCGTATATTTTTATTATAACGAATTTCACTTCCTTTGATAAAAAGACATATTCTTATTCAAATTTCAAAAAATTAAATTTGTTTATGCAATATCTTCTAATGCGAAAAGTAGTGCCTATGAAGTTGTCGGTCAAATATTTTGAAGTTGGTTTATAATTCAAGATGTCCGCCATGAAATCTAATGTATTTTTGTAACATTTTTAAAACTTCAAAACTATTCATTATATTAAAGACCCTTCTTCATTGGCTGCCTACTTTATTTTTTACTGGTAACAATATTACCAACAGGTACGGCTTACTGCTAAGTGAAATCATTTGTGATCCACTACTGACCTAAGCGGGAGAGGGGGACAGATCTATGGCTTACCAGTATCATGTTCTATATAGTATGTGTACACTCTCAACATGCAAAACACCCTGTGTTGATAACGTATGAAATTTACAATTTCGTTACATCATTGTACAAGTAAACAATACAAATCACTCGCGCAGTCAAAGCTTAAAAAAGGCATCAATCAGTCTTGAAATATTGCAACACTAGTGTACCATCCACCCTCCAGTGTATCATCATCCCTCCAGTGTATCATCCACCCTTCAGTGTATCATCGACCCTCCAGTGTATCATCGACCTCCAGTGTATCATCACCCTCCAGTGTATCATCATCCCATCAGTGTACCATCCACCCTTCAGTGTATCATCACCCTCCAGTGAATCATCACCCTCCAGTGTATCATCATCCCATCAGTATACCATCCACCCTTCAGTGTATCATCATCCCATCAGTGTACCATCCACCCTTCAGTGTATCATCAACCCTCCAGTGTATCATCAAACCTCCAGTGTATCATCGACCCTTCAGTGTATCATCGACCCTCCAGTGTATCATCAACCCTCCAGTGTATCATCGACCCTTCAGTGTATCATCAACCCTTCAGTGTATCATCAATCCTCCAGTGTATCATCACCCTCCAGTGTACCATCCACCCTTCAGTGTACCATCAACCCTCCAGTGTATCATCAACCCTCCAGTGTATCATCAATCCTCCAGTGTATCATCACCCCTCCAGTGTATCATCGACCCTTCAGTGTATCATCGACCTCCAGTGTATCATCATCCCTCCAATGTACCATCCACCCTTCAGTGTATCATCACCCTCCAGTGTACCATCCACCCTTCAGTGTACCATCAACCCTCCAGTGTACCCTCCACCCTCCAGTGTATCATCGACCCTCCAGTGTATCATCGACCTCCAGTGTATCATCATCCCTCCAGTGTACCATCCACCCTTCAGTGTATCATCACCCTCCAGTGTATCATCATCCCATCAGTATACCATCCCCCCTTCAGTGTATCATCATCCCATCAGTGTACCATCCACCCTTCAGTGTATCATCAACCCTCCAGTGTATCATCAAACCTCCAGTGTATCATCAACCCTCCAGTGTATCATCACCCTCCAGTGTATCATCCACCCTCCAGTGTATCATCAACCCTCCAGTGTATCATCGAACCTCCAGTGTATCATCGATCCTGCAGTGTATCATCGACCCTCCAGTGTATCATCGACCCTCCAGTGTATCATCAACCCTCCAGTGTATCATCACCCTCCAGTGTATCATCAACCCTCCAGTGTATCATCATCCCATCAGTGTATCATCGACCCTCCAGTGTATCATCACCCTCCAGTGTATCATCACCCTCCAGTGTATCATCCACCCTCTGGTGTATCATCAACCCTCCAGTGTATCATCGACCCTCCAGTGTATCATCATCCCATCAGTGTACCATCAACCCTTCAGTGTATCATCGACCCTCCAGTGTATCATCGTCACTCAAGTGTATCATCACCCTCCAGTGTATCAACGTCACTCCAGTGTATCATCCACCCTCCAGTGTATCATCACCCTCCAGTGTATCATCAAACCTCCAGTGTATCATCACCCTCCAGTGTATCATCCACCCTTCAGTGTATCATCCACCCTCCAGTGTATCATCAAACCTCCAGTGTATCATCAACCTCCAGTGTATCATCAACCCTCCAGTATATCAACCATCCAGTGTATCATCATCCCATCAGTGTATAATCGACCCTCCAGTGTATCATCACCCTCCAGTGTATCATCAACCCTCCAGTGTATCATCCACTCTCCAGTGTATCATCGACCCTCCAGTGTATCATCCACCCTCCAGTGTGTCATCGACCCTCCAGTGTATCATCAAACCTCCAGTGTATCATCAACCCTCCAGTATATCAACCATCCAGTGTATCATCATCCCATCAGTGTATCATCCACCCTTCAGTGTATCATCAACCCTCCAGTGTATCATCAACCCTCCAGTGTATCAACCATCCAGTGTATCATCGACCCTTCAGTGTATCATCAACCCTCCAGTGTATCATCAAACCTCCAGTGTATCATCAACCCTCCAGTGTATCATCAACCATCCAGTGTATCATCGACCCTCCAGTGTATCATCCACCCTCCAGTGTATCATCGACCCTCCAGTGTATCATCGACCCTCCAGTGTAACATCCACCCTCCAGTGTATCATCATCCCATCAGTGTTTCATCGACCATCCAGTGTATCATCACCCTTCAGTGTATCATCGACCATCCAGTGTATCATCACCCTACAGTGTATCATCAACCCTCCAGTGTATCATCACCCTTCAGTGTATCATCCACCCTCCAGTGTATCATCATCCCATCAGTGTATCATCGACCCTTCAGTGTATCATCAAACCTCCAGTGTATCATCAACCCTCCAGTGTAGCAACGACCCTCCAGTGTATCATCGTCACTCAGGTGTATCATCACCCTCCAGTGTATCAACGTCACTCCAGTGTATCATCGACCCTTCAGTGTATCATCAACCCTCCAGTGTATCATCGACCCTCCAGTGTATCATCGTCACTCCAGTGTAACATCGTCACTCCAGTGTATCATCGACCCTCTTTTTCTTTTCTTTTTCCAAGACTGAAAATGCATTTTTTAAAGAAAGCAATGCAAATAAAAGTACCTTTTATTGCCAGCTTATTGACTATAATTTAATGAAGTAAACACTACATCAATATTTTTCAGATTTTTTCCTTATAAATACTCGAGAATCAGTACACATTCGAATAAAGATAACAAAACGTATAATATATTGCTAATTTAAATTTCAACTTGATTTACATCAAACGCATCGCTTTTTACCTAGTATTTTCCTGTTAAAATATTTTTAACTAAAACATTTCAAATCGACAGTGGATGGACCGTAAGCGTTAAATAATAACCTACAAAAACTAAGACAAGTCCAACGGTTAACCGATATTAAAAATAATATCTTTTATTATACTTATATACTTTTATTTTTGGTTTATATCAATGACATTGAAATAAGTATTGAAAATTCATGTAAATTACTTCTCTATGCAGATGACAGTGCTATCATATTCTCACATAAATGCCCTGAAACAATTTCATCTAAACTCTCCTTGATTTTGGAATCCTGTCATGATTGGCTTTAATTGACAATAAATTATCATTACATCTGGGAAAAACAGAAAGTACCCTTTTTGGTCCAAAAAGAAAATTAATTCAAACGGCCAAGGATAAATTTCAGGTTTCTTGCAAAGGTCAAATTGTTAAATCTCACTCGGCTGTAAAATATCTTGGGGTGATGATTGACAGATTTTTATCTGGAGAAGAAATTGTCTCCAATGTCATACAAAAAAATCAATCAAAGACTAAAATTCCTTTACAGAAATAATAACTGTCTATCCCAAAAATCACGAAAAACTCTATGTTCAGCTCTCATACAATGTCATTTCGATTATGCCTGTTAATTCATCTTGGTATGAGGGTCTTTCTAAATTACATAAAAAAGTTTCAAATTACCCAAAATAAAATTGTCCGTTTTATTCTTAACTTAAATAACAGGACAAGAATTACCTTTACTGAACTACAAAAAATAGTATGCTCAATGCAGAGGGAAGAGTTCGTCAACTTCGTTTAAATCATGCGTTTAACATCTTTAATGAGAAATGCCCTCAGTATATGCATGAATTTTTCACCAAAAACAATAACACATACGGTACTAGATCCCGAAATTCAAATGTCGCTATTAAAAACGTCAAGGGTACAGAAACATCTACTTTTTTTCTTTTCGGTTGCTAATTTAAGATTAGAACTCTTTACCGGATCATATCATAAATATCAAAAACAAACATAAATTCAAAACCAATGCTAAAAAAACACCTTGTGCTTCAAGCAAAAAATGAAGTTGATGATCTCTTTGTCTACTATTGAGCACACATGCATGTATTACCTCTTCATTCTCTGTCACAAAATACATATATAGACCTGTGCGATGGCTTGACTTGCGGCATTGCACAATCATTTCAAACTTCTTTTTTTGTTCATGCCTTTATATAAGCAGTAATGCAAAGATCTGTCAGTATATTTAGTTTGTTTTATTTTGATATCTTTGAAATAACTATGTAACAATATTTTATAGTTTGCTACTATAAGAAGCTGTCTGCCACTATAAATAATAATAATTTTGTATGTTGTATTTTTTTCTATATAAATGGAAATCCAATTCTACCGATCAATTATCTAATATGATACACACATATCCTTTTCTGTGCTATCTGAATTGATTTTCTTATTTTTTACTTCTTTTCTTCTTCCATTTTTAAAGGACCCCATTGGAAATAAGCCACTTTGTGGCTTTTATGTGTAATCCTAGGTAAATGGTACTCACCACTCCTATTATGCGACCTATTTATATCTACCTGCATATACTTAAAATAGTCTGTCTCATTTTATAGTAACATCTGTTTTTTTTACAGTGTATCAGACTTTGTTTTAGCTTTTTATACTCTGTGATATATGTCAAGGATTGAATTCAGAAACCATTTATTATGATAGATCTATTATTATTCTCAGTCTTAATACAAAATATTCCTTTTTTATTTACAAGCTGCATTGTGATCTTAATTATATGTTTTATTCTAAATTGTGATATCTTGTAATAACATGCCTGTTTTACCTGAACAGATATGAATTATAATAGTGGTGTGACTCCTAGCTGTTGGGAGTTGTCTACCGTTAATGTGGTTATAGGCGTCGCTGCTTTATTAAAAATAGTGCCTCATCATAGTCTCATTTAACGTCTATTCCACTTATTTCATAAGCATTTATTCATAAAACCATCTATTTAACGATTTTTCTAAGAGAATCTTTATACACATATTTCCTTTTTGTGTCTTATTATTTATTTATACATTCTCATATAACGGCGCAATGATATCATCCTCTTCCGCCGAAATCGTCAAGATGGTGAGTGGTACACCATGTGCGCTCTGGAAGAATTGTGATTAAAGTCAATTTTTGACTATCAAAATGATAATAACTAGTTCTATGTAGGGTCCAATCACTTCAGAATACCGTCGATTCTGGTTTTATGCTTTCAGACTTCCTATAATATCGAATTAGAGCCGATATATGCCCGTTCGTTGGAGTCTCCAAGACACGTGTTGCTCGACATTTTCCTGGTTTATACGACGGTTTAAGGGTTTTGCCAACTATATTGGGGAGGGGCCCCTGAGCAGAAATAAGGAAAATATCATCGGTGTGTCCACAGTTTCGGAAAAAGATACCGTACATTGGGAAAAAAGATCATGATACGAAAAATGTCCTCCGTTTTTACAGTTGTATAACGTTATATTTATATAGGCTATAGCAATACTAAAAACACGTATATAATTTCAAATTTTTGTTATTCATGTATTCTGAATTCTTTATAACGAGGATGATCTTTTCCTGAATGTTGACAGATGATGACTTTATCGAAACATAAGAATGCTTGGAAAATGAAAACCAAAATGTGGACAGTACAGGGTCATTTTCCCAACATGATTAATACCTGGCAAAACCCGTGCACCTCGTATAAGGAATATGACGGACACTAAATGCTTAGTTTGATGCTAAAACAAGAGGTTCTGGTAACTTACTGCTAAATAAGATTGAAATAAATAAGATGTTATGAATTGTGTGTGGGTGGGTGTCAGCAACCCAAAGAGCAATTTACAGTACATTGAAGCCGTTTTGGTCTCTGTGGAGTTTAACATATAGATAGATACCAGTAGAGATATAGACAAATTTGAGTTTTTGTTGTTGCTAACTTTATATTTTCAAGATTTCTGACAATTTGAGTTTTTACAAAAAAAGTACTAAGACATCCTATTCTGAAATACTGACACAACCCGGTACCAAAATTGCTAAAATTCAAGCATATCTTTTAGGCTATATTGCTAAAAGATGGCAAGGTTACTAGTTATAGCCGGAGTTTCCTCTTGCCCTAAGCTGATACCAGCCTTAGACATTTTGACAGTCTATACAGGGATCGACACTAACGGTAGACCGGAGGACCGGGTCCACCAAAATCTTGGACGGTCCACTTAATCTCCAAAGCTGGTAGACCGCCGGTCCACCACATATTACTTGATAAGTGTATATATATTTGAGAATGTTGTTCAGAAATATATTAATAAAGACTTTATTTACTTCGCCAGCGAGCCGTAAAATCCCATCTGGTTAAAAAATGTATCGTATTTTCGTGTTGTTAAACCGCTAAAAGTTGTCGTTATCATTCTTGGACGAGTGAAGTGCGTGAATCCGCTTGCGGTAAGTCGGAATCCTTTCAGCGTTTGAGTCGCTTGTGGTATAGTTTGCCGCTATTGTAAGCACTAAAATGACGATGACGTCACGATCACGGTGGTCAACCGGTAAATGAAGGTAAACTTAGCCTCACAATTTCGTGTTACGTTTTAATTTCTATCGTATTCTAGCGTATATCGTTTAGGTGATCGTGTCCGTCGATTCACTTAGTATCTGTACTAGACTAGTACCGTATCGCCTGTGTCGCGATTTTTAAATGGCTTGGTTTACAACCACTTGCAAAAAAAAGTTAAAAACTTCAACAGAACAAAAACAACACAAAGTTTGTATGGGCAACAAAAAGGATGATATCCTTTCAGGAGTCATGGAAAAATCGTTTACATGGCTCAATAATAATACTGACACAAACTTAATGAAATGTAGGGTATGCTGCACTCAGAAGATCTTTCCGAAATGTCCAGGAAGGATTGAATAGAGGTGCAACAAAATACGTAAAGATTACTGTTGGGGCAAATGATTTTAACATTCTGACTGTATATTGAGATAAAGATCATATAAAAAAGGTATAATACTATAAAAAAGTATATTATTTTATCCTTATTTTTTCATATGATCTTTATCTCAATTTACAGTCAGAATTTCAAACACCTTTGGATGGGAGCTATGTAAAAAATAATAAACAAGGAGAAAATTGTTTCATGTTTCTGTGTCATTTACTAAAACTTGTTCATAAATGGAAAAAAATAAAAAATAAGGAGAAAAAACAAGTATTTTACAGAAAATTAAAAAACCTTCATTATTTGTTTAAAACCCTCAGATGCCAGGATTTTGCATCTAGCTTTTAAAAAATTTCGGGGGAGGACCCCCGTACCCCCCTCTTATTCAGGAGGGGGCTACCCCCTCCCGAACCCACCCCCCACTCCTCGCTACGCTCGTCGACCGGGGCGCATAGGGCCCCAGATCTGAGAATATTATTCAGGTCCACCAGAAATTAACCAGGTCCACCAGATCAAGAGAGCAGGTGGACCTGCGGTCCACCACCTATTAAAAGTTAGTGTCAACCCCTGCTATAGCTATTACACAACACACACCTCGCATATCTATCAATGAATATTTTAAAATCCAAAACCGCACACCTGAGCAACGCCATTTTGTAGATTATGCAAATTTCACTTTAATGACTTATAAACAAACTGCCTGTTCCAGATCCAACAAATGTATATTATTTAGAAAAATTCAAGAATGCCTTTTTTGTTGATTATGCTTGGCCAATTTATCAATATATGTGAGGTACGGTAAATCTCCGGTCAGTTCGAATAGGCGGATAGTTTGAACACTGTTTGAACAATAAAAATAATAATTTTCTGTCTAGTGATAGTTCGAACCCTGTACTGAACTTGTGTAATTATTGATCAAAGTTGGCTATCAGCGAAGCAATAATAGCCTCGCGAAACTCACTTAAACTTGATCTATTTGCGCATCGACAGCATTTAACTACTGAATAACAGGTAGAACTCGTGTTGTCATCAATGTCGGACAATTTGTACATAAATAAGTCGCATGACACGGATAATTGAGTTTCTTTCTTGTTAACATGTGCGCACACCAGTCAAACATCTTTGTTTAATGTATAATATCCTTACAGTGCACGGAGCACAGAATGTTGCTGTCACATGGCTGACAGACATGCATATTGTCATGATATTACTGTGATTACAATTTGATTATATAATCGCGACCTGGCCACCGATCACTGATTTATAACTTAATTGATATATTACCTATACATGTGCCAAAACAAAAATATCAGATTTTTGCTGTCAGCACCTCAAAACTTAGCGATGCCAAACAGTGTCGGAAAACTCCATTTTCACATAGTAGTGCACTCGGGCCCCACACCAGACATCTATCTGTCAAAGGTCAGAGCCAGAGGTCACTCTATCTGTCAAAGGTCAGAGCCAGAGGTCACTCTATCTGTCAAAGGTCAGTCCGAGGTCACTCGGGCTAGGTTACTTTCCACCCCCAATTAGAACTCATTCACCCCTGAAGACACATTTGAACACTTCCAATTCAGAGGTTGGGATATATGGTTCATTATTAAAGTATTAAAAAAAAATCAATATTTCCTTTCAAGTTTGAAATCCCCTGCTATGGTATAAAAAAAAGTGCTAGAATGACACCAGTCAAACATCTTTGTTTAATGTATATCCTTACAGTGCACGGAGCACAGAAAAATCTCAACATTGTCAAAGGTCGCCTGTTTATAGTGAGCTATCTACTGCTTTGTAAACCACAGGAATATGTTCCCTAAATCTGGCATCAGCTATTGTGGGAGTTTTGAAAATATTTTCACCCAAAATGTACCTGTAGAATTCCCACAGTCACATACAAAATGTACCTGTAGAATTCCCACAGTCGCCCGCAAGACTTTGGTGAAAATAATCATCGAGTTTCAACAAGATATGCCGTACATATATGATCATGTGGTCAGTTTTAGGGTATACATTGTGTTGGCTTTATTTTATAATGGTATAATTAGATAATATAATTTAATTATAAATCATATAATCCAAATTTATTTGTAAACTTGTGCATTGTGGCTTTTCCCTCAAGCATTCTGTCATAATCTAGTGTATTAAAATGTTAGGTCCAGTAAGGGAGGTGGGAAGTGTTGTATTTGGAGTAAAAAATTGGTCCTTAAAAACTCATTGCATTTTTTTCTTCTAAGAAAATTTATATGTTTAGATCCTCTACATATATATTTATCATATGGATACCATGTTATGCAGTGTCGTAAAGCCATCACATAAATTATGTTTATGTATCGTGTAATATCACTCTGGAAATGACCCCACAATCGAATAGGAACAATCAATGTGACGTCACGTCATTGTGAAGCGGATGCAATTTTTATCGTTTAAGAGGCGGCCAAGTGCAAAATATTCATTTCATATCACAACTATAGTTTACTTTCTATTATATGATCAAAAGAATCTGTCATTCGTTTCCCCTTCATATTAGATTTATGATACTCCATTTGGATTTTTCATATTTGCTCGCCAGACATGAAAAATCCAAAACTTGTATCATCAATCTAAATGAAGGGAAAGTTATGACAGATCCTCTATATATTTGTGTTTTATAAGTATTGCATTGTCAAAATACTCCAAAGATTTATGACTGGGCCTTGTCAAGACAATAGAAAATGTCTGTTGTTGTGTAAATTTGTACTAGGCTGCTGTAAAAGCGGTACAAGTTGAAAAGCTGTTTAAAAAATAAACTATTAGTTCCGTTCTAATAATTGATATTTTCCTTATTTCTTCCTTTAATTTCAGACGTCGAAAAGGCGTAATAACGGACGTAGTAAGAAGGGTCGTGGTCACACGAAGCATGTCCGCTGTACAAACTGTGCCAGATGTGTCCCCAAGGATAAGGCCATCAAGAAATTTGTGATCAGGAATATCGTGGAGGCTGCTGCCGTCCGTGACATCTCCGACGCCAGTGTATACGATGGTAACTTTATAAAGTCAATGATCCAACATTTTCATTTTTAAACGAAGGAGCATCAACACCTAGGGTTCTGTTCACTGAAAACTTCTCGTAATATCCCAAAACCACTTGTAATAGGTTTGAACCACTCGTAATATCACAAAACCACTTGTAATAGGTTTGAACCACTCGTAAAATCACTTAACCACATGTGTTAATCTTATAACACATGTGTTAATCTTATAACACATTTGCTAATCTTACAACACATGTGCTAATCTTATAACACATGTGTTAATCTTATAAGATTAACACATGTGCTTATCTTACAACACATGTGTTAATCTTATAACATGTGTTAATCTTATAACACATGTGCTAATCTTACAACACATGTGCTAATCTTATAACACATGTGCTAATCTTATAACACATGTGCTAATCTTATAACACATGTGTTAATCTTACAACAAAATGAGTGGAATAAGAGAAAGGTATCTCCTAGTGGTTACTGTCGACATGTGTTAGTAGGCCTAGCAAAACATGTCGACAATAAACGTCGACCGTAACGGAATCCTCGGTGTTGATGCTCCTTCGTTTATTTTATTGAATTTATAACTCTTGGATGGAGCTCTGTTTGAATACCCTTGTGGTATCCACCTCGGATTCCTGTACCCCACAGACCACAGACCATTGCCTGTAGGACGTTGGATCTCTGTGCGGGATAATTGTGTTGGTTTACCAACATTTTTATTCCCATTTTTTTCATATATATGGATTGTAATATGTAATTACATCAGTCCATAATACAGCATACCTGTAATTGTATAGAGAATCTTCTGTATAGTCCAACTTAAATAAAAAACAGTATATGGTATCTTCATGTCTCACAATTACATAAAAACAGTACATGGTATCTTCATGCCTTTCACGAGTCAACATCTTTTTAATTGTAATACATTTACCTCGAACACACTCAGCACCTCCAAAATCCTTTTCTAACTCTAGTTTAAACAATACTTTATTCAGTTAGACAGCGATACCTGTACAAAATACATACTGAAATAGGGATCTGGCAGCAAGCTTACAGCTTATCTAAGTTATCTCCCTTGGTCAGCATGCATTGATATGAGTGATATTTTAAACATACAATTAAACAAGTAAATAATGGAATATTTAAATAATTTAACGAATGTTGCTCATTAATAAACTTGTTTTATTCAATCATTACTTTTAAAATATGCAAAGTACAGTTACATTTCAATGATAGCTTGATATTCAAAAACTGAAATTCACTCGAACTGTTTACTAGGAACAATTTATTTCTGCACCGGAATGAAAATCTCTGCATTTTGTTGATAATTCAAGGACTGGTTTCCCCATAGTAAGGTGTCCAAGTCAATATCAGAGTTAAGAGACCATATATAGTGTGCTAACTCTCTTCCAAGTATAGTTGTATACTTACTATAAGTCTAAGGAAAATTTTCAAGGTATAAATCATATTAAATACAGCTTAGGCTAGTAGGACTTAGCAACAATCTGCCTGCAACGTGAGCCTACTGCTCAAAAATAAACAGAAAATCGTAAAACTAGAACAAAGATATACTATTAAACAGTTTAACATCTATGAATCATTTAATTAGCTTATCAATATTTCAAATGACCATGGCAAGCTGTCCATCATTAATTAGACAATCACCATTTCTATTTAGTATTGAAAATTACAAAGTGTTTGTTTTGCTTGAATTGGTCTGATTATCAATTTACCCATTATTTTTTAACCCAAAATAATACTTGTTGATCATCATATGATTTGTTTCTGTACTTGTTTTAAATATCACAATAAGCTAATAATACTTGTTTTAACCCTTTCACCACTGTTGACCATAATGGACTCATCTAGGTCAATGCATGGTCGAGTCTACTAAAGTTACAAAGGGGTGAAAGGGTTAAGGGCAATAGATAGGTTGACAGCACTATAAACTGTTGTGATGCTCTTGGTTTCAGTGTACGCCCTCCCCAAGCTGTATGCTAAGCTACTGTACTGTGTGTCATGTGCCATCCACTCCAAGGTGGTGAGGAACAGATCCCGTGAGGCACGCAAAGACAGGACCCCCCCACTCCGCTTCAGGCCCATGAGGGTAAGTGTTCTCACCGATATTCATATAGTTCGAATAAAATCTGTGTATATGGGTATCTGTGTAAATTCTTCAACACAAAGATCTTTTTCAACTGTTGAATTTGAAGTCTTTAGAAGGAAACAGTTGACCAAGTTTATAGCAGTTTGTATTGTAGGACACATACTTTATAAACTTTTGTGCATTTAATTTAGAGCACTTTCACTCTCGTTACAAAATCAGGTTTTAACGATCGGTGAACAAATTCTTCAACACGCAGAACTTTTTCAACCGTTGAAGTCTTCAGTAGGAAACGGTTGACTGAGTTTGTAGAAGTTTGGTCTCCATATATTGTAGGACACGTAGTCAGTACATTTTTGCGCTACTATGTGCATTCAATATAGAGCACTTTCATTCTCGTTACAATTTCTGGTGTTAGCGATCGGTGAACAAAGCTTCGGCTGCTAAAGTTTGTATCTAATTTGTGCCAAATGATGCGAGAATCTGGAACGATTCTGGTTTGATAATATAAAATTACAAATGAAATAGGCATTGCATTGCTCAAAACACTTATACATGGTTGAAGTAATGAATCCCGAATATCTGAAATTCAGGGAGATTAAAATGAAATTAAAACTAAACACGAAAAGTTTATACAAACTTGTTTTCCTGTCTTAAGGTTTTAATACCTGTGTAATATAGTGCAAAAACTTTAGTCAGGTAAAACATTCTTGGTTAGGAAAACTTCCCTAGTTTACTCAACCACTTGAAGTATAAAAATTATACCGACGTTGCATACTTGGAGGCCTGGCCATAATCTATTGTTAAGGCTGTTAATATGTTGGACCTGATGAACCAACATGAAACAGATTTTGTAAGTTTGTCACACGAGAGCTCAGAGCTACAGTATCTAACATATACAAAAACACCTTGCTGTTCATTAACCTGGGATGAGGCAAACCCTATCTTTAATTTTCCAATGCTTGTATGACAATACCAAACAGGCGGTTGTATTTCCAAGGACATTTATATAATATCTATACATTATATTATAATTTTGCTCCAGAGCAATTATCTAAAAAATATGGTGAGACAGTTTCCTTCACCAAGTTCATTTATGCAAGTTTGTAAAAAGCTACAGCTGAGGACTGATAATATGAATTGTTGTAACAGGAACAGTGCTGTCTGTATTCATAGCTCTGAGATACATCTTGATTCTGTACATATATACTGTAGTAACAGGAACAGTGCTGTATTCATAGCTCTGAGACACATCATTTGTGATCCTGTACATATATACTGTAGTAACCGGAACAGCGCTGTATTCATAGCTCTGAGATGCATCATTTGTGATCCTGTACATATATACTGTAGTATCAGGAACAGTGCTGATTCATAGCTCTGAGATACATCATTTTTGATCCTGTACATATATACTGTAGTAACAGGAACAGTGCTGTATTCATAGTTCTGAGATACATCATTTGTGATCCTGTACATATATACTGTAATCACACATAATAATAATATACAACATTTATATAGAGCCCGATATAATTTGTAAAATTACTCTTAAGGCGCTTTACAACATATATGGATAATAGTAATGGTTGTAATTGTGAAAACAAACAACAAAGGCTTGCAATCACTTTCATACATTTAACAAGCAATGTGCACATAATTGAACAAATAAAAGAGTGGTATTTACATGACGTCTTTACAAAGATTCTAAAATAACATTTGTGATCATGTATATATATACTGTTATCACACATTGGTGATCATGTACATATATATTGTAATCACACATTGGTGATGATGTACATATATACTGTAATCACACATTGGTGGTCATGTACATATATACTGTAATCACACATTGGTGATGATGTAGATATATACTGTATTCACACATTGGTGATCATGTACATATATATACTGTAATCACACATTGGTGATCATGTAGATATATACTGTAATCACACATTGGTGATGATGTACATATATACTGTAATTGTGTAGACAATTTTGAGCTCTGAGTACCCGATCATATTCAATTTTGATCCAGTTCTGAAATTCAGAATGGTTTTCAGCAGTCTTTAAGAATTCAGCACCAGAAGTATTTTCCATGCAATAAATTCTAAAGAAAAAGAAACTTCTTACAAATAAATACATATGCTTGTTTTTGACAGGATGGGAATGCCCCGAGGCCAGGTGGAGCCGCTGGAGGTGGCGGCGGCGCTGGTGGAGGCGGTGGTGGCGGCGGCGGAGGCGGCGGCGGTGGTGGTGGTGGCGGCGGCGGCGCCCCAGCTGGACCACGTTAAACGTTCTTTGTACAGCTTACAAATAAACCCTTGACAGTGGAATCTGGTGTTTGGTATTTTATAAAGAGTTGTCTAAATATATTTATTTTATTTTTGTAGACATTTTTACTAGGTATGCTTCAAGGGTGTAAAAAATAACCACAGTATATATTGTAAATAATAATACATTGTAAAAAAAAAAGAGGAATATCATAGACTCTTTCATGCCCAGGTGTGTAGGATAGGGACATTCTACCCGAGGGGTTTTCAAATTTGGTAAAACCAGAAGGTTTCATCAAATTTGAAAATCCTGAGGGTGAAATTTCCCTTGCCTATGCCCTTGGGCATGAAAGAGTATTTTTCTCAAATTCCAACCACCAGAATAAGCTCAGAAACCATAAAAATGCATTTGGACTGGCTACCTTTAAGAAAATATCCATTTTTCTATCAGCGAGATTTAGCATAGACGTTGTGTCATTGTTGAGCCATTGTCAGTGACGTTTCACCTGTAATTTAGAAGTTTCCTACACTCTTTCTTATCCTGGGCAGCTCTATCTTACACACAGAAATGAGAGATAAATAATCCATCACTGCAATTTAATAGTAATAATTTATATTACAATAGTTGCAATTAATGAGAGAGAAAAAAATCGAAAAATATTTCATGAAAGGTGTTTATTTTCAAACATCTGTATTTTGTCTATGCATACATTATACACGGGCAAGTGGATTGTAAGGTCTACTTGCCCGGGGCAGGTGCTCTGAAGACATTTTTTACACCCCTGTGCTTACATAGAGCAAGAGTTCCGACTTCAACAATGCATATCAATTAATGCCAATAAAATACTTCAGGGTCGGCACAAAAATCTAGGGTAGGTAGGGTTAGTGGACACAAAATTGTTTAGCTCACCTGCCTGGAAAGAGCTTATGCCATGGCACAATGACCGTCCATCTGTCAACATTTTCTTTAAAACGCTATTAGTCCACACATATCGCAGCCTCCCAATATACACACACATACACTACACGCATGCATCTTGCAACCAGGGGAGGCCGTCCTTAAATGACCTTAGCTGTTAATAGGACGTTAAACAAAATCAAACAAACAAACAAACTATTAGTCCAATTTGGTCTAGGATCCTTGGGCCAAGAGCACTCAGTTTTGTATAAACAGTGGGTGTGGTCCCCCTTAGGGCAGAGGANGGGGGGGGGGGGGGGGGGACATACGAAAAAATAGAGGTTAAAACCTCATTCAAGTGGAGGAATAACAGGATTTTATCTTCATGTAGTAGTCTGAAGCATCCTTGGGCCAAGGTGATTCAATTTTGTATAAATGGTGGGTGTGGCTCCCGCTGGGGGCAGAGGGGTGGGGGAAATGAAGGTAAACCTTAAAAATCCTCCTCCTACCATAGGATTTCATTCCAATTTGGTCTGGAGCATCTTTAGGCTAGAGCACTCTATTTTTTATTAACAGAATAATACCCCCCACTAGGGGCAGAGGAGATTAGTCTGATAGGGAAAATGGAGGTAAACCTTTGAAATCCTTCTTCCATAACGATTAAGGGATTTTATCCTAATTTAGTCGAAAGCATCCTTAGGCCAAGGGGACTCAATTTTGTATAAATGGTGGGTTTGCTCTCCCCCTCCCCCTGGAGGCAGACTGAGAGGGGAGGGTCAGAATTTGGGAAATGGATATAAACCTTTAAAATCCTTTTATTGTAGGGATTAAGGGATTTCATCCGAATTTTGCCAAGGGCACTCGATTTTGTATGAACAATGGGTGTGACCCCAAGGGCAGAGGGGCAGGGCCCAATAGGGGAAATAGAGATAAAACCTTTGAAATCCTAATTTAGTCTGAAGCATCCTTGAGCCAAGGGGACTCAAGTTTGTATAAACGGTGGGTGTGCCCTTCCTTGGAGGCTGAGGGGTGGGTCAGAATATGGGAAATAGATATAAACCTTTAAAATCCTTCTACCGTAGGGATCATTAAGGGATTTTAGCCCAATTTGGTCTGGGGGAGACATTGGGCCAAGGGCACTCAATTTTGTGAAAACGATCGGTGTGGCCCCCAGGGCAGAGGGCCAGGGCCCGGTCCAACAGGGGAAATAGAATTACAACCTTTGAAATCCTTCTACCTTAGGCATTACAGGATTTTATCCAAATGTTGTCGCCATCAAGTTGTGTACACGTACTTGTTAATATAGGGTATATTCATTAAAACAAGATGGTCGCCAGAGATATTCTCCCTAGCCGAGTCGGTAGGAAGCGGCTGGTATTTTACCAGGGTGACATACTCCCTAACCGAGTCAGTAGGAAGCGGCTGGTATTTTACCAGGGTGACATACTCCCCTTCCAGGAAGAAACTCGTTTTCAGAATATATTCCATGAAACATGCTAAATGGTTGTGAGAGATGTGATGAAAATGAAAACAAACATATTCTCCTACCTATATCCAAGTACATTTCAAGTTCTAGAAGATTCAGGACATTTAACTAAAACTTTGAAGGAAATTTTTCATTTAATTTATTTACTTTTTTTTTTACTTTTTTTTCTCTCAATGTAATTCTTCTGATTTCCAAAAATGGTACATGAATATTACTATTAATATTACCTATTTGTCTTATTTTTAGATATTAATAGTGAGGGGGGCTGGGGTTCAGAAGACCAGCAATTACTCTATTTTTAGGTCACCTGAGACAAAGTCTCAAGTGACCTATTGCATCGCCTTTTGTCCGTCGTCGTCCATCGTGCGTCCGTAAACAATTTACATTTTCGACTTCTTCTCCAAAACCCCTAAACCATTTTCAATGAAATTTTGCAGGGACCTTCCATGGACAAAGGTCAACAAAAATAGTGTCCGGTTTAGTCCCAAGCCCCCAGGGACCTGAGGGACGGGGCCAAAAAGGGTCAAATTGACTAAAATTACAAAAATCTTCTTCTCAAGACCCAGATATGGTAGATTCAAATGCTCTTCATAGATGGAAGGGTCTTAGGTGCTTTACCAAAATTGTGAATTTCTTGACCCTGGGGCCTCACGTTTCCCCCTGGGGAGGGGGTAAACTTTACTATAGTTTATATAGGGAAATCACATTTTGGACCAACATTTGTTTAATTTCCATTGGAAGTAATTCAATTTGGGTTAGCATTATCAGTATTAGGTAGCAGTTTGATAGTATGCACATATGAGCCCTGACTGACCCCCAGGGGCTGATGGGTGGGACAAAAAAGGGTTGAATTGACTGAAATTTCAAAAATCTTCTCAAGACCCAGATATGGTAAAATCACATACTCTTCATAGATGGAAGGGTCTTAAGGTGCTTTACAAAAAATGTGAATTTCTTGACCCTGGGGTCTCGTGTTTCCCCCTGGGGAGGGGGTAAACTTTACTATAGTTTATATAGGGAAATCACATTTTGGACCAATATTTGTTAGGTCACCTGAGCTTTGCTGAAGTGACCTATTCCAATCACTTTCAGTCCGTCGTCGTCCGTCGTCCGTCGTGCGTCGAGCGTAAACTTTTACATTATCAACTTCTCAAGAACCAGAGGATGGAATTTTTTCAAACTTGGTCAGAATCATCCTTGGTAGATGAGGCTACCAAATTGTAAAATTGGGATTCCTACCCCAACCCTAGGGGCCAGGGCGGGGCCCAAAAGGGAAAATTAACCAATATTTCAAAATCTTCTTCTCCAGACTCAGAGGTATTACAGTCATTTTCTCTGCATGGATGGAAAGATCATCAGGGGCTTTAAATTTTAAATTTCAGGACCCCCGAGCGATTCGTTCTCCCTTGGGGAGGGGGTAAAGTTTACTATAGTTTATATAGGGAAACAACACTTTTGGGTATATTTTGACAATTTTCTGTTGGAAATTATTTTTACTTGGTCAGAATCATCCTTGGAGGAGGGAAGATGGTTTTAAATTGTAAAATTGGGATTCCTACCCCATCCCTAGGGGCCAGGGCGGGGCCCAAAAGGGGAAATTACCCAATATTTCAAAATCTTCTTCTCCAGACTCTGAGGTATTACAGTCATTTTCTCTGCATGGATAGAAAGATCATCAGGGGCTTTATTTGAATTGTAACTTTCAGGACCCCCGAGCTATCCGTTCTCCCTTAGGGAGGGGGTAAAGTTTACTATAGTTTATATAGGGAAACAACACTTTTGGGTATATTTTGACAATTTTCTGTTGGAAATTATTTTTACTTGGTCAGAATCATCCTTGGAGGAGGAAGATGGTTTTAAATTGTAAAATTGGGATTCCTACCCCAACCCTAGGGGCCAGGGCGGGGCCTAAAACGGAAAATTAACCAATATTTCAAAAATCTTCTTCTCCAGACTCAGAGGTATTACAGTCATTTTCGCTGCATGAATGGAAAGATCATCAGGGGCTTTATTTGAATTGTATTTTTCAGGACCCCCGAGCTATCCGTTCTCCCTTGGGAAGGGGGTAAAGTTTACTATAGTTTATATAGGGAAACAACACTTTTGGGTATATTTTGACAACTTTCTGTTGGAAATTATTTTTACTCGGTCTGAATCATCCTTGGAGGAGGAAGATGGTTTTAAATTGTAAAATTGGGATTCCTATCCCAACCCTAGGGGCCAGGGCGGGGCCCAAAAGGGAAAATTAACCAATATTTCAAAAATCTTCTTCTCCAGACTCAGGTATTACAGTCATTTTCTCTGCATGGATAGAAAGATCATCAGGGGCTTTATTTAAACTGTAAAGTTCAGGACCCCCGAGCTATCCGTTCTACCTTGGGGAGGGGGTAAAGTTTACTATAGTTAATATAGGGAAACAACAGGAAATTATTCTTACTTGGTCAGAATCATCCTTGGAGGAGGAAAGATGGTTTTAAATTGTAAAATTGGGATTCCTACCCCAACCCTAAGGACCAGGGCGGGGCCCAAAAGGGGAAATTAAACAATATTTCGAAATCTTCTTCTCCAGACTCTGTGGTATTACAGTCATTTTCTCTGCGTGGATAGAAAGATCATCAGGGGCTTTATTTGAATTGTAACTTTCAGGACCCCCGAGCTATCCGTTCTCCCTTGTGGAGG